CCCCCCCCCCCCCGCTCGCGTCCGGGTCCCGCTAGCGAATAGGCCCGGTGTAGCCCCTGCCTGTCGTAAGAGGCGACTCAAAGGGGTGGAGAAGAAGAGGAAAGAGCGGGGGAGGACGAGCGCGAAGGCCCGCCAAATCAACGGCGGGCCGGGTGCGGGGGGCGGTGCAGATGTAATGACTCCGTCAATTCCCGGCCGCCCCCAAGTAAAAAGCACCGCGCAGACCACCGTAGGGTTTTAGTGGGTAGGCGACGCGCCCGGCGTGTCTGCCGGGCGCACTCCGATCGACACTAGGAGGGCAGTCCCACATAACCCGGGCCACTTGTAAACTCCCTTCCCATGGGGGGCCCGGGTATCCATAAAGGATTTCCCTACGAAAAAAAAAATCGCTGCCGTTCGACAGCGCTTCTGGCCCCTGTCATTAAGATCGGTCACTCGTCACATAATTCGAAAGTGCATACCCTGCTTTAAGGTCAAGCCAGCCTCGTCGGAGGCAATAATGGGGGATCTCCCGGCAAATAGAGTCAGGCCCTCGAGACCATTTTCTTACGCCGGTGTTAATTACGCCGGTCCAATTTTTATCCGCGAAGGCAAAAGGCGCAACGCTCAAAATATTAAAACTTATATAGCCGTGTTTGTATGTTTCGCGACCAAGGCGGTGCATCTCGAGCTCGTTGGAGATCTAACCACGGACTCCTTCCTCGGCGCTCTCAAGCGATTTCTGTCCCGACGCGGAAAGGCCATAACCCTCTACTCCGACAACGGCACCGCCTTCGTTGGCGCAGCTCGCGAACTAAAAGAGATACATCAGTTTCTCTCGCAGGACGACGTTCAGTCGGACATTAGAAAATTCCTGTTGGAATCGCATATTTCCTGGGAATTTATTCCTCCCAATGCCCCGCATTTCGGTGGGCTTTGGGAGGCGGCCGTCAAATCGGCGAAGCATCACATGTATCGTATCATAGGCAACGCACACCTGTCCTACGAAGAAATGCTAACATTGTTATGTGAGATTGAGGCAATATTAAACCCGCGACCAATAACGCCGCTATCAGCGGACCCCAACGACATTAATTGCTTAACACCAGGGCATTTCCTGATCGGCGAGGAATTGAACAGTTTTCCTCGTCTAGACATCACCGACGTAAACGAGAATTGTCTCAGTAGATGGTAACGGGTGGAGTTACTGCGTCAAAATTTTTGGAAGCGCTGGAGCATTGAATATTTGTCTCAATTGCAGCAAAAGTCAAAGTGGATGTCTAGCAAGGGTGCTCAGTTGCAGGCAGGTCAACTCGTGTTAATCAAGCAACAAGGGTTAGCCCCTCTTTTATGGAAGACGGGCCGAATTCAAGATCTGCACACCGGCGGCGATGGTGTGACTAGATCGGCTACCGTGAAAACCTCCAATGGTTTACTAATGCGTCCCTTGTCTAAGCTGTGCATTCTACCAATAGAGAGCTAATTGCTCACGCGAAACATACGATTTTATTTACTATATTTAGATTAGTTGAGTCTCTATTTAGATTAGTTGCGTCTCTATTCATTATACTTTCTTTATGTCACATGCGCTTAGTTCTAAGTTTATTAACTTCATTAATTTCTAAGTCTTCGTTATATCTCTTTCATTGCGTTCTAATCAATATTTACGTCATGACGGTGGATCCACGATTTACCTCAGATTATAATTACTCGCTCTCCCGTCCTGACTCATTAGGAGTACAGATCTGCATGACTGTTCTTGTATTTATGGCGGTCTTTCAAGGCGGGCAGTGTACGATTCACGCATCGCACGAGCGAGATTGCCTTAAATATTCGCGCCAAACCTGCAGGCGTCCGCGCGTCTTCGTTTATTTCCGCGCTCGCACGGCAACGGCCGCTGGGCCCTCACCCCCCATTTTTTCACTTGTTTTTCCGTTGTTCCCCTCTTGCGTCAGCGACGCGCACGATCCTGCAGTTCGACACCAACCACGAATGTCGCCGGTTCTATCTCTCTGTTGTATTCACGTGAAATAAAGTGTTGCTAACAGAAATTAAATTAGTGGAAGCCAATTTCCACGATCACGCCGCGAGATCCATAAGTATCTCGCACGCGAGGAAGCGAATTATTTCGTACAATAACTCAAGAACTAATCAACCGAATATTAATAAATTATATGAAATAGGGGTAGAAAAGACTGGAAAGAATAATAGAATTAGAAATAGCCCGATATATCAAAATTTGCAAAAGTTAGAGCAACCACGGACATTTCTAAAAAATTTCAAGATTTTTTCAAAAAGAAACCCGTTTACCGATATCGCAAAAATCAATACCAACCTTCCTTTAGTGATTCTCGGCGTTTAAAAAAAAATTAGCCCGATATCTCAAAATTTACGGATGTTAGTGCAACCACAGACGAACATTCGAATGCGTACACACACACACACACACACACGCACACACGCACACACGCACACACGCACACACGCACACACGCACACACGCACACAC